ATAAGTAAGTTGGAATTTTGGCTATTTATTTATTTTTGGTTTCGATTTTTGCCATAGGACGCATGCACTTACTGGAGAGACAGAGAGAGAGAGAAGGAAAGAAATCATCCCCCTACTCCCTCCTACCCCCAGGGTATAGCCACACTGTAATCCCTTCTCCTCTATTCTCCGCCTGGGATTTTGAGCACATATGCACATGCATACACTATGAACTCAAACCGTCAAAATGTCGTAAACCAGGTCTGGGACTCAAACCGTGGCCGGACATGTGGGAGTCTAGCACCTTAACCATCATGCCACCTGTTGGCCTGGCTAGTTCTTCATTTATTTTATGTTTTTGCCATAGGCCATGCATTCAGCAGAGAGAGACAGTGAGAGGGAAAGCCAGAAACCACCCTTTGGGGTGAAGGCCATGCCTCAATTCCTTCTCCTCCATTCTCCTCCTGAGATTGTTGGGCATGCATGCATGCCTGCCTGGTGTGAATTCAAGCCACCAGGTCTGGGATTTGAACTGTGGTCAGCTGTGAGAGATTCCAATGCCTTAGCCACTATACTACCTACTGGGCTCTGGTCTGGCTATTCTTATTTATGATAAATTGATAAATTTAAATCAGAGCTGGGAGCACCTATATAGTTTAAAAGAGAGAGATGGTGTGGGCCAACAGCTGGCATGGGGCTTAGGGTCCTGAACTCTCACATGGCCAACCATAATTCTAGTCTCATAGCTGGCAGCTTGCTTTCTCACTTTCTCTCTCTCTCTCTCTCTTGAGCACACATGCTCTGCAGCAATTTAAAAAATAATAATAATGACAAAATAATTATTTTTAAAAAAGTGAGAGAGAGAGATGGTGGACTCTTTAAATTATGTTTTTTTCTCTGGTATAAAAAAAGGTTACTTTATGGAGAATAAAAACTATTTTAATACACTGTTTGAACAAAATTTACAAAACACAGCTCAGTAAGACATTGTGTCAATGTTTTACAATGACAATTGTCTTAGTTCAGGCTGCTGCAACAAAATGTCATAAACCAGGTGGCTTACAAACAACAGAAATTTATTTCTCACAGTTCTGGAGTCTGGAAGTCCAAGAACAGGGTGCCAGCATGTTTGTGTTCTGTTAAGGGCTCAATTCCAGATTATATACTGTTGCTTCTTTATTCTCACATGGCAGAAAGAGAGTGAGAGAAGTCTTTGAGGTCCCCCCATTTTTTAGGGTCTAATATCATTCATTAGCACTCTATCCTCATGACCTATTTTTTTTCTCCCAAAGGCACCACCTCCTAATACCATCACATAAGGGGTTGGGATTTTAACACAGGATTTTTTGAGAAACATACTCAGTCTATTGCAATACTAAAAACATACTGATATATGATAGATATTTAAAAAATACTTATTGGGATTTTTTTTCAGAGTGGTTATCAAGTGAGTTTAAAGTAAAAGAGGAATGATAGCAGTATTTTTTTTTCTGAGAGGTTTTTGCTATAGGGCATGTGCACTTACCAGAAAGAGAGAGACAGAAGCAAGAACTTATCCCCTGGAGGGATGGCCACGCTGCAGTCCCTTCTCCTCCATTCTTCTCATCTCTTCTCCATTCTTCTCCCGGGATCTTGGGCATGCACTTGTTCGCACCTGGTGTAAGTTTAAACCACCAGGTCCAGGACTTGAACCACGGTCGACTACATGGGGAGTCCAGTGATATAGCCATTACGCCAACTGCTTGTCCCAGCAGTATTGAACTCATAGGGTGGTGAGGAAAGCACTTCATACAGTGCTTCGCCCATGGTGAATGTCTGGTCAATTATTATAACGGCTATAAGGTGACAGTCTCCTCAGAAGAAAATTTAATAAAATGTCCATGCTTACGAGACTGTTCTTAGCTGTATTTGTGTGTGGGAGGGTTAGGTGGGGCCAAAGGTCATATAGCCAATAGTACTTTATTGAGAACCAACATTTAACAGCAAAGGCATATCAGGGCCAGGTGGACAAGAAACAATCTTTCAGCTTTTATGTGCCAGACACTATAGTGAGCATCTTACACACACATTTTACTTAGTCCCAATGAAAGCCTAGCCCAGTAAGTTGTATTAACCCAATTGTATGGATGAGAAAATTGAGTTGCGGAGAAACGATTAAGTACTACAATGGGAAAGCTCTCTGCAAATTGTTAAGTAAATTAAAAGACTGACCCTGTCTACTAAGCTGCCCATAAAAGTGCAAAATCCTCACCAAGGTCACTATAGGATTTGATTCCTAAGCCCCTAGTCTTCTTTTCACTATACTAAGTTATTGACTGGCTCATCTAAATCCAACCCACATTCAAAGGCATGGAGCAGGCTTGGTCAAAACCAAGGAGTCTGCTTACTCTGCTATTGGTCTCGAGAGTCAGTTCATGCATCTGAACATGTCTGCAGAGATAGTTCATTCTTTGATACGGATATGGGGGGAACACAAAAGGAAACATCTCATTTTTTTGTCTCATGAGAGACAAGTGTCTTCCCATTTCTGAAGACTAGTTTCTTTGGAACCTGATTGTGTTTCAAATTTGAATGAATATGTTCTGGTTGATGAAAAATAGAACATTCCCTCTCTTCTCTGATAGGAATATTAATAAAAAACAGAACACTCCACACAGAGAATGTAAAGTTCTCTGTTGAAAATGACGTATAAGGTAATATCTTTAATTTGATTGTCATGTACTATGTGCATACTTTGAAAAACCATGTTGTGCATTATAAAGGTATACAACAATGGTATGCAAATTTTAAAAACTAATGTGTTGGGCTAGCAGGTAGTACAGAGGTTAAGAAACCAGGATCTCACATGGCAAATGCATGGTTTGAGTCCTGGACCCAGTGTTTTGAAAAACACTCCAGGTGCATATGTGTGCATGCCAAAAATCCCTAGAAGAGAATGAATGAGAAGGGACTGTGGCATGGCCATCCCCCTGGAGGATGATTTCTCACTTTCCCTCTCTCTGTGTCTCTCTTTAGTGAATGCATACACCTTATGGCCTATAGTAAAAACAAACAGAAACAAAACAAAAGCACTAATGAAAAAGAAAAAAAAAATAGGGCCTGCAGGTGGCATGGTGGTTAAGGCGCTAGACTCTCACACGGTCAACCACAGCTTAAGTCCCAGACCTGGCGACTTGCTTGCTTGCCTTCTCTCTTTTTCTCTCTCTCTGGAGAGTATATATGCCTTTTAGCAAATTAAAAATAATAATAATAATAAATTTAAATAAATAATTCTCTAAAGAAAAAAGTAGAAACTCCTCCTCCTATGGGAATGCTATAGAGAATAGAATTTACCCTGCTCTTCCTACAGACCTGCCAAAATAAAGGAAGAAAGAAGGGAAAGAAGGAAAAAAGAAGGGAGGGAGAGAGCAAAAGGAAGAAGGCAGAAGAAAGAAAGAAGAGAAAAGGAGAATCTAATTTAAATTTTCTATTCAGAAACAAAGAAAATCCATTAGAACTATCATTTCCTTTTGTTCAAGGAGAAAGCTTGGTTTTGACAGCTTTTTGGAGAACGTGAAGAACACCCCATTCATTCATGGCGCTTATTCTGTGAAGACCACACAGCTTCATGAGTGAATGAAGAACAGTTTAGCTGGCAGCACAACTTACAAACACAATATTTTACCCCTCAGTTTATCCTAGAACAAAAAATAAATCAGTATAAACATTTCAAAAACTTAATATGGAAGTGTCAAATCTCCGGTTCTTAATTCTTTCAGATGCTCTTCTTAAGATGTGAAAATGAGAAGTCTTCACCCAGTTTATAGTTGTCTATTTGTAATAGAAAAAAGGACTCCGGAACAATAAAAAAAAAAAAACGTTTTCGGGACCAGCAGATGGCGTGATGTTTAAGGGCGTTGAACTCCCACATGGCTGACCATGGTTAGAGTCCCAGACCTGTGTGGCTTGCTTTCTCACTTTCTCTCTCCCTCACTCATTCTCACTCTGTCCCTCTCTGGTCAAAAGTGTAAAAACCAATAAATAAATAAATAAATATAAATAAATAAATAGTAAGTTAGTTAAATAAAATAATTCTTCCAAAAAAAGGTTTTCTTCCTGTAACCTGGGGTTGGCGGGTGGGAGAGGGCAAGTAGTGTTCTCATTAACAAATGGGCAGAACCACCTGGGTTTCCATGATGAGTTTAGCATGAAAATACCGGCGTACCAAAATATGAAGGATTTCTCAGTTTCCAGTAGTGGAAAAATCATGTTCATCTATGTGCACAAAGGCCAGTTTCACACAAAAGAAAAAAATTTAGGATAGTTGGAGTATAGAGCTTAATGGCTTAAAGAGTAGCTAAAGATGGAAATTCATTAGGAACGGGAATTGTGATTTCCTTTTACCCCAAAGGATTTTAAAATCCACTAAGCATCCGTGTTGAGTAACCCAGGTGCTCTTTGGTTCTCAGAGGCCCAGAGGACGTGTGCAGGAGGAGTTCTGTCCTTGTCCTCCTCTCAGGCCTTGTCTATTCAGTGCCTATACTTCACACGGTATGCTACAAGTGGGTCTTCATTTCACTTGTTTCCTATCTCATTTCCTGATGGCCAGCTCCTTTTCTCTCTTTGGCTCACTGTGAAAGGGCTGCCATCCCTCGAGGGAGGGAGAGAAACAGCCAAGAGGACAGAGACCCAACCCGGCTTCCTCCAGACTTAGTCGTCCTAAGATCTGAGGAGCCTGTGACTCATCCCTGAGTTCCCCCACCCCCAAGCAGCTTCCATCAAACCGCAGCCCCCCTAAACGCGTTGTTGAACATTTTTTTTAGTGGTGCAATCTTGTTCTGGGATTACAGGGAAGGCTGAGTTTTATTAGAGTTCTTTCAACAAACTCATTTCATCGTCACTGCCCCTTGGCAAGTGCTGAGTCACTCAAGCCTCACAGCATTCCAGGACACCTCATTCTTCCTTACTTTCCTTTTTTCTTTCTTTCTTTTTTTTTTTGTTTAATTCCACCTCTTTTTTTTTTTTTTTTTTTCCCCCAACAGATTTGTCTTTGGAAAAGATCGAGATGAGCTGGTAAACTTGGCGTCTTCCTCTTGCTCCCCAGGTGAGTATGATTCACTTTTCTAGCTATGATACAAGTATGTTAGAAAGAGTATTTCCCCAGGTGTCTGCTGAAGAACTGATCTGTTCGGTCTTTGTGATGGCACGCTTTCCGAATTAGCCATTGAGAAAACGTGATGACACTGCCGTGCTTCTTGTAAAATCCATCTCTCGAGTTGTTTTACGGTGTGTGTCTTCCCCTTGACTGTTTTGAGGAGCTGGATCTCCGTCTCTTTACAGAGCTTTCTAGCAGCTGCGTCTCATTTGCTTTGCAAGGGCATTTGAAGAAATTGCTATTTTGGAAGCTGCTCAACATGAGGGATAATTGTTTTAAAGCACTTTACAGTTCGTATAGTGCTTCCCCATTATTTTCTCCAGTCATTTATCATAGAAGCCCAGGACATGTTATTTATATGCTTTAGGAAGTGAGTAGAGGCACTGGAGAAATAATGCAACAGCAGCTTAGCAGGGCATTGTATCTCATGCCTCAATTGATCAGCAGATTACAATCTCTCCCTTCAGATCCGTTTGTACCTATGACCAGAACGCTTCATGCCTTTTAACTAATGGGTAGATAGACGTACCTGCTGTGTGTCCTCGCGGGACTGTGTGGTCAGCCCGTTGTTGGTCTGTCTACCCAACAGAAAACCACCTTAATAATTGGACATTGGGTCACTGATTGGACAGACTGAATCCCGTTTAGTTGCTCTAATCTTGGGTTAACAGGAAGCTAGCTTATGGCAGAGTGGTTAAGGTACTAGACTCCCACATGGTTGACCACAGTTCAAGTCCTCATCCCAGCAGCTTGAAACTCATGCTGGACTCTTGTGTGTGCATGCCCAAAATCCCAAGAGGAGAATAGAGGAGAAGGGACTGTGGTGTGGCTATCCCCCTGGGGGATTTGTCACTTTCTTTCTGTGTCTCAGGGTCTCTAGTGACTGCACATGCCTGTAGCACATATCTGTCTAAATATATATATGTGTGTGTGTGTGTAGAGAGATACACACACACATATATGTGGTTGTTGGAAAAGTCATGATGCATTTTTGCATAGAAAAAAATATGTCATGACTGTTCTGAGAACCTGATAAAACGGTAGGTGACTAAAAGCACTGATTTTGGAGTCATACTGCTTGGGATTGGGTCTAAGCTTCATTCCTTATCAACTCTGTGACATTAGGGAATTACTTAACCTCTCTGGACCTCACTTTTCTTATGTGTGAAATGGGAACAATAGTTGCTACTTCATGGAATTGTTTTCGTGCGGCTTAATTCTCCTGGTCCATGTAGAACTCTAAGCACAGTGCCCAGCACCCGCTAAGCCCTCGGTGCATGACACGGGTCACCATCTGGTGGTTCAAAAGAGGGTCGGCCGTGACATTTTTTTTCCTGAGGTTGATTTGTTACATGAAATTATACCTATGTCCCTTTCAAAACCAGAGATAGTAGTCCTGGGAAGTAAGTAGTAGGGTAGACAGAACTTATACTGGTTTTCCTCTGCTTTTGAGAACTTGGATAATTATAACTTCTCATTCTAGTTTTATTTATTTATTTATTTATTTTGTCATTCTACTTTTTAAAACCTAAAATGCCCACGTTGTTCCTCCCGAATAATATGTGATATAAACAAAAGGCCCCGTTTGCTGCTCCCTGAGGTATTTCCACACCGGTTCTCAAATGGTAGCACACAGAAAGACAAAAGATGTCGTGGGCTTTCTTGTAGTCCAAGATGAAAGAAAGGATAGAGGCAATTGCAGGGCCCTGTCGTGTTGAGAATGTGCTCTCTTTGCAACAGGTGGCTGAGTCCTTCATCTGCTTCTTGTCTGCTGGGTAAGCTGGACAACTCATTCTGCTTCTCTGTGCCAGTTATGAAGGGGAATGATAATACCTGGAGGATCCCCAACTTGGTCCCTACTTGCCTGGGAGATTCCCATGGCAAGTTCTGTGTCCAGGGAAACTTCTCAGTCCAAGACCAAAAGCAATTCAAGTCCCCAACCTGGTGGCTTCAAATGTACTCTGAGTGCATGTGCATGCCCAAGATCTTAGGAGAAGAATGGAGAAGGGATTGTGGGGTGGCCATCCACCCTGAGGGGTGATTTCTTGTTTTCAGTCTCTCTCTCTCTGATGAGCGCATAGACCCTAAAGAAAAAATATCTCAAAAAAAAAGAAAAAAAGTAACTGACTAGAATCCCATTGACATAGGATAATACTAACACCTATTAATAATATATGACATACTATGTTTTATAGTATCCTTATGCATTTACATACATGTAACTGAAAGTACTCACAGACTATGTATATAGGACATTTAGGACAAGTACTTTTGCATTATAATAAAGATAATTTGCACTGGAAAGGCCTCTTGTGAATCAACTTTACTTCCTGAAAACTTACATTCTGTACTTGTGTCATATTTTGGGAGCAATTATTGTTTACAATACATTGGTCAGTGATTTATCTTAGAAAATGCCAAAGAAATACAAAATAATCTGGGGAAGATGACATGACCAACCATCTATTTGGTGTTAGAAAATTAAACACACCAAAAAATAATAGTACATTGCTGAGAATTAACTTGAGGCAGCCCTGGTGACCGTAAAGGTGCAAAAATATTAACCATTGAACATGCCCAAGAAAGAGCAATTTCCAAAAAATGATTCATTTAGTTTGCTTCCATGCCATACAGAGATTGCACTTGAATAGAACTTTGAAATGTGCAAGCATGCATTTGCTTGAAAATTCAAAAGTTTTTAGACCAACTTCTGTGTTTTACCTAGAGGCATCCAATCAGAATGTAATGCAGTATTTGCCCTATAAATGCCAAAGGAAGGCTTCTCATAGTCATTCATGACAAAGATAAATAATACATATGTAGTAAAAGTACAAAAACAAGTAAATTTGATCAAACTCACTTGCTTACATTGATAGAAGTAATATTTACATGGGACCAGCAGATGTCGTAATGGCTACATCACTGGACTCGCATATAGTCAACTGTGGTTCAAGTCCCGGACCCTGTGGCTTAAACTCACACCAGTGCATGTGCGTGTGTGCCCAAGATCCCAAGAGGAGAATGGAGGAGAAGGGATTGCGTCGTGGCCATCTCCCCTGGGGGGTGATTTCTCTCTTTCTATCTCTCTGTCTATCTCTATCTTTCTGGCGAGCTCATGTGTCCTATAGCAAAAACCTCTCCAAAAAAAAAAAAAAAGTAATTAGACTTTTAGAATGCAATGACTTATTTCTGTACTAAGTCTTGAAGACAGAACTTGCAAACCTCTGAGAATGTGTTAAGGGACTCGAAGACCCTGAGCATGTCACGTACTCTTTCTGTAGGTTGCCTAAAGGACCTGCTGCAGCCTGCCCCCAGGGTGGACACTCAGTAAAATCATTAACTTACATTGAATGTTCCTTGTATTGATAATCTTTCAAAATAGTATAATGAAGCCCGAGTGAAAAGGGCATGACCTGCCATTCCACGTTCAACTTTCCCCTACGGAATGGGCCGTTTTACCTCTCAGGCAGAAGCAAAGAACTCATTCAACAGCAGAGCTGAAGGCTGTGGCGTTATTGTTGTTTCTCTTTTTTTTGGACAGAGGAGTAATTATGTTGGCTTCAAAGGCCTTTTCTTCTACCTTCCATCTTGGCCTGATGGTGCAGGAAGAAGCCTTCATTCTATTCCTGCACTTCACACATGGAAACTCGGAGGAGGGAACTGAGTTTGCCCAAGGTCACGGATTCAAACTTTCTCAGATATTTGTTAATCATAATTTCATTTTCTTGGACTTCATCAAATAGAGCTGTAAGTCATGCTCTTGGCCCTCTTGGCCTTTTATTTTTTTTTTTAGTTTAGGAGATACCCTCTTTCCTAGACCTCTCCCTCCTTCATAGTTATTCCAGTCCCATTTTCTATGCAAAAATGTGTCATGATTTTTCTAACTGTATGTGTGTGTGTAGCTATCTATCTATATCTATATATCTATATATATTTTGCTAGAAGGTGCTGGTGCTCACCAGAAAGAGACAAGACAGAAAAACAGAGAAAGATACAAGAACCCCCTATAGGGAATGGTCACACTGCAATCCCTTCTCCTCCATTTCTCCCTCCTTTTGAGATTTTGAACATACAATGCATATGTGCCCAGCATGTTTCTCAAACCACCAGGTCCAGGACTTGAACTGGGCAACGGCCATGTGGGATCTATCCACCTTAAGCCTCAGTCTATAGGACTAGCTCCTTCTATTCTTTTCATATGGGCATTTTCCTTGCTCTCAGCCAACATATCTGGACCTCCACTCTAAGATCTCAAGTAAAGGAATCTTCCAGAGGACCCAAAGTGCTCTATCCACAGAAGGGCTGTTTATGAACTTCCCCTTGGCCTGTTGCCTTTGACACAGTGACGCAAGGCTCCAGGCTTGCACTAATTTCTCTCAGGCTTCAGTAATGTGAGTTAAGACTCTGCTTTATGGTTAATTGAGCTGGTGATGAGAACAAGCTGAAACTTGTGAGGAGAGACATCAACTGGAGCAAACTGAGGTCATAGCTCGATGAGAACCTCCAGGAAGACAGATTGCCTGTGGCATTTAGGGCATTGCTCCCCCGACAGCGGTGATGCAGATAGAAGTAGAAAAATGACAGTCTCCTTTGAGGGGCATATGAGGGCACAAAGATTTTTCAAAACTCAGCCCCAACAGAGAGGAAATCTGCTTGATAATTATTCAGGCCCCTTTCTTTTAATTCTTGATTACCCTTGGCTCAGAATTTATGCACCAGCGACAGGTGATTCTTACGTAAGAATGGAATCTCGGGTGTGATAAATTTGGTCTTGAGACATCTCGGCTCAGTTGCTGCAGATGGCAGTGTCATGATGGCAGAGTGAGAGTACGGCGGCCTGCCAGGCTGTGGGATGTCTGTGAAGTGGCTACTCAATTCAGAACTGTCTGAGCCAATTCCTTCAGCTTCAAGGTCATGGTCAAAGGATATAGCCCCACAGTAGGGTTGACATTCATTCTTGCAACATCCTCTACTTCTTTAGATGCTGCTGTTGCCTCACTCAAGGTCCTGCAAGAATCGAGTTGTAGTCTGTGTTCTTTGACCTGTATAATTTGGAGTCTTTGTTTATCATGACTAGTGCTGAGAAGGGCCAATTTTATGATAATGAAGAATTGCTTGTGGGACCAGTTAAGGTGGCAGAGCATAATGCGATGCTCCACAATGGGACCCACATGGGAAAGTCCAGGGTCTGCATCCTGGCATCTCCCTGTAGATGCTGGGTGCATGCTTGTGTGCCATGACCCAGACTAGCTGAAGCTCGGATGAACCATGGCGTGAAGACCCTATTGTGGAATGCTCTCTTTCTCTCTCCCTGTCTGTCTATCTCTCATGGAAGAAATAAATTTTTTTTTTTCAGTTTTGGTATAGGCTTGGTGTGCTTGCCAGAGAGAGAGAGATGGAGAGAGAGAGGTTACCCCCCACCCACCCCAGAGGGGATGGCTACATTACAATCCCTTCTCCTTCATTCTCGTCTTGGGATTTGGGGGCATACATGTACATGGGTCCAGTGTGTTTTTCAAGCTTCCATTTCCAGAATGTAAACTACACAGTCAGCCATGTGGGATCCAGCTGCCTTAACCAACACTCCAATGGCTGGCCCAATAAATAAACATTTTTAAAAAAGAATTTCTGGGTCCAGCAGCTGATGTGATGGTTGAGGCAGTGGATCCCCATGTGACCAACCATAGTTCCAAGTCCCAGACCTAGTGGCTTGCTTTCTCACTTTCTTTCTCTTTTCTCTCTGGTAAGTACAGGTACCCTACAGCAAATTTTAAAAATAATAGTAAATAAAAATTAATAAATAATTTTTTTAGAGAGAGATTTTTGCTATAGGGCGTGTGCGCTCGCCAGACAGACAGAGACAGAGAGACAGAAAGCGAGAAGTCACGCCCCCAGGGGGGATGGCCACGCCGCAATCCCTTCTCCTCCATTCTCCTCTCAGGATCTTGGGCATGCACGCACACGCGCCCGGCGTGAGTTTTAAACCACTGGGTCTGGGATGTGAACCACGGTCGACTACGTGGGAGTCCAGCGACATAGCCATTACGCTAACTGCTGGTCCCAAAATTAATAAATAATTCTTTAAGCAAAAATAAGAATTTCTTATACTAAAGAGTCAACTGGGTAGGTTTGGCCAAGGAGATATTTTTGGGCATTGCATCCAGTCATGCTCAACATGTGACCTAGGGTCCTTTTTTATTTAGAATTATTTAATTTTGCTCATCATCATTATTATTTTTTTAAACTTGGCCAGAGTGATAGAGGGAAAGTGAGAAAGCAAGCTGCCAGGTCTGGGACTTGAACTGCAGTCGGCCATGTGGAAGTCCAGCACCTTCACTGCCATGCTACGTGCCAGCCATAGGATCCTTTTTTTCAATGGCAACTTTCAGGTTACAGCTTCTTAGCTTTATCTTTGAGGATTTTGGAACTTCTCCCAAAAATGTACACATACACACACACACACACACACAAATTGTGAACACGCATGCCCCTCTCTAGGGAGAGGGTCTATGGCTTTTAAAAAAGCATTGTAGAAGGTTGAGAGCCAACAATTAGTAAGAGTCACTACTGTAGATGAAGAAACTAGTCTGAAGCATCCCTTTATTCCCTTCCAACTACATTTTCTACTTTGAATTTTAGGATGAACTTGGTCAGAGGTTGCGATGTAGGGCAAACTTTAGACTCACATAAATCATTGATCCTGACTTAGACCTCGTCTCTGCATTTTTTTGGCTATGCGAGCATAAACATGTCACTTCTCCATGCCTCGCATCCT